CCTGCCCCGACTTCACACGCGTTTAATTTACATGTGGTGTCATTTATGTTTAAAAAAATATTGTTCGATCAATCTAGTTTGTCGCTTGATTATTATTACGAAAATGCGCTAAATAATAAAATATCTTATCGTGTAGTAATGGGAAACATAGATCCAAATTTGTCCACGGCCTGAAGATTTTACAACTTAATAATTTAGCTGTTAATGTCAAAGTTTTATCATTATTGCCAGTTATTACATTATGTCTATATACAATGTTTACAGACTTTTCATTACACAATACGAACAGATTCTTTCTGAAAGTGACACCCGAAATCGCTACACATAGCTGATCACTGACCTCTATATATACAAGTATAGAGGTCAGTGTAGCTGATCATGAAATGTTTCATGTGCTGAAACAATGGAAGCCACGGCGGAGACGTGCCGGCCGTGATTTATTTGGTTACACGTAATTTTGAAGCTGTGATATCTTCTAAAGTATTCATTTAAATGATATAATTCAATGGATAATTAATAAAATTAATTAATAAAAACTCACATATTTATTAATATGATGAATATTATTACTGAATTAGAGAAAACATCTTCGCAAATAAGCAAATATTTTTGATTTGATTGAAATATTATTCAAAGATAAAAGTGGTTATTGTGAGTCAAACTTAGGAGATAGATATATTATTATGCTAGAGTGGACTTTAGGTCTAGACCTTTTGAAGAACTACGATTCCTTAGTACATTATTTAGAGGTATCTCTTAACGTATAGACAGCGAATTAAGCGCCCTAATATCGATGTCGATTTGACGACTTAATTACAAAATATTGAACTTTTACACTATTAAAACTTAATTAGAATGTATTTTACATACAAACCTTCCATAAAACATCTCTAAATAACAGTGAAAAAGTTATTAAAAACCGTTGTTGGTTGCAGTAAGTAGGTAAGGCTTTATTTTGAAAAATGGAAAACTACGTATTAATTTAATTTAATACTGTAATAATAAAACTAAAAGAATAATAATAAAAATAAAAGTAGTCAACAGTCTACGTCCCGTAAAATAAAAAGTGTCGTACAAACTTTAACACCTTATTTCACCCTCCGAGGGTTTGAATTTTACAAAATCTTATCTTAGTTAATTATCTACGTAATAAAATGAAACTATGTTGTAATATTTTTATGCTTCTACGTTCTGCGGTTTGAGATTTACGCTGGTACTATGTGAAAGCGTGGTCTTACCCCGGTCGAGCCGACTCATTCGTGCTACAACCATAATATAGCTTCAGCGTGGCTCTACCATGTAATATACAAGGTACCTTTATAAGTTTCGAGTTAATCACCCCGTAAAATTAAAAGGCTAATACAAACTATAACACTATTTCATCCCCATAGAGATTGAATATTCCTAAATATTTTTTAGTGGATGCATTTGTTATAAAAGGCAGCTACTGACAAATTTTCGGATTACTACGTAATGCGGTTTATGCTGTGCTTTGATAGATGGCTCAGTTATTCAGGATATCCTCTTTCGTAATATATATATATATATATATATATATATATATATATATATATATATATATATATATATATATATAAATGTATATTATCTGCCGCCTTACACATACTACATAGCAGTTTTGCTTCATTGTGCCCTGCAGTGGGCTGTAAGGAGCTGTTGAATAATTAATTTGCACATTTAAGGTAGGTTTTGAGTTAGTTCAAATAGGGCCCCAATTTAATTTTTGCCCCGGGGCTCTTGTTTGTATAGCTACGCCACTGCATACTACGTTAACCATACAATTTATATAAACTCTGATAGTCAACCAGCACCGTTAGCGCTGAAGTCAAACTTAGTGAACACGAAGCTAGTTGGAGACTGCGTGAACCGTCTAAACGTCCTGGGATGTAACAACAGGGTCGTCTTAAGATGGGTTCCGGGTCACGCGGGTAATGTAGGCAATGAACTTGCCGACAAACTCAAACAGAAGGGTGAAAAAGCCTAGCCCGATTGACCCTTAAAACTCTTTATCACAATAAATCACTTAAGATCTGGTCTAACACACGCTTATTATGTTTCACATTCTAAAACATTAATCCGGGATTTCGATCGTAAATTCGCTTCAGAAGTCCTGGTATTAAGTAAAAATAAATTGCGCATTCTGGCAAGAGCCCTAACTGGACACTGTTGTCTTAAAAAACACATCTCCATCCTGGGACTAAGCAACTCAAGGATGTGCCGGTTCTGTTCCCTAAGGGAAGAAACACCTCTGCACATTGCGGACTGATTGTGGTCCATTAATGCGAAAACGTAACACTCATCTGGGAAACTATGTACTCCGCCCAGAAGAAGTGAAATTGTTCACAGCTAAGCAACTCTGTCCGTTCAGGGAAGACATGGGGCTTAGCAGTGAACTATAGCCATAGCAGCGATCACAACAAATCTTTTAGGTCGCAGTGATACTGGTCTCTTTTCCTAGACATAGCTGCTCGCACATAATTAAAACAAAAAAAACTTTAGGAAAATTTCGGAGAATTTCTGAGTTAGACATACCTATAGTTATAAGAACACACAGAGACGATGTAGTTGCATCTAAATGCAAAAACAATAAATCGTTTGAAAATATTTACTACGTCTTTTATTCTTAAATTCTATACTCTTTTATTTTTAAAATTGAAAGTATAGTAAGTATGTTGTAATATTTAAATAATTGACTTTTATTAAATTAAGGGAGTAACTTAACATAATAAAAGTCAGGTCAGGTAGATATCAAGGTCAGGAGGAATATAGGCTACGTTTTATTTTAAAAACTAGAAGATTTAAAAAAATTGATAGAATAAAAGATCTTTGGTTATCTTAAATCTAAAAGAACACCCACATTTACATAAAAATCCTATCCAGACTACGTGGTGTTTATATGTAATATTAAAATAACTGGGTTCTAATAAACTCAGGGGGGGTTATGTGCATGCTATTGAGATATAAATAACCATTTTTAAGATAATTGTGTGTCTGTCTTTCTAATCAGACTAATATTCGGAATGCCTGGATTCGAACATCAAGAACAGATAGGGAGCAATCCAGGAAGGATCATTTTTACATGGTGAAATGCCTACGCATACCCACGTCGTGGAGGGAAGACGCGAGTTATGTTGGACTCGCATTGATTTAAACTCCATTGTATTCTACCTTCTTCGCATATTTGCAGGCGCCGGGAACGCTTTTACACTCATCCGCGACTCCACCAGCGCCTCTCCCTTCTTGGGAGAGTATTGGTACTCCCCCTTTTGCTTCTCAGATAAGGCGCACCGGGAACACAAGGAGTCCCGTCCCGTCCTCCGCGGCCTCAGCTCCACCTGCGCAACAGACCCCCCGAGCCCCATACGCGGAGGCCATGGAGCCAGGAAAAAACGAGCACTCGGGAACACCCACTTTTTTAACCCCAACGGCGGATCTGGTCGATATCTCCGTCACCAATCAAGTTTCAGGAGGTATCTAGGCTATCTTTATCTGCAAACCTTAAAGATATAAAAAATAGCTTATAGAATAATATTATTTACTCTTTATTAATTGTCTTATGTCTAAATAACGCCACATTAATAGATCGCATACAGGCAATACTGAACGGGGGGGGGGGGGGGGGTCGCTTGTGTGAAATAAGATTATCGCATATTATTTTGATACAAATTACGCATACATAATTTCGTTCATATATAGCACGTAGAGACGACCTTGATTAGACATAAAAATAAATTGTTTTATACTACTTTACTACTACCTCATATTACTACTATTATATTATATGCAAGCATATTATTACGTCTTATTTTAGTTAAAGATGTATGTACGTATGCATGTTATTGAAATATTATCTTACTATTTTTAAATTAGATGATTTTTATCATCATTTTGCATTTTTATCTTTAAATTACATAATTGTAACTCGGCAATCTATTTTTAACAGTACATTTATATAATTATGTACTGTTCCCCAGACCCAAATTAGGTCACGGCGGCCTATATTATTTGAAAATACCTACGAGTATGGCCTAGAGTTGGGTTATTGAATCAGAAAAGAGCACTGTCCCAATATTTATTTTTGAGAAAATCTTAAGGAAACTTGCATGTCTGTTGCATGTTTCTACAGATAAAATAAACATTTAAAACTGCAAATAAAATTTCAATTTATCGCTGCCGGTGTGGATCAAACTCGGTTTTATTGCGTTCTGTAAAATTTTAAAACGGGCGCTTATGCCCTGTACTATCATTACTATTTAAACAAAGTTAATAACCTTGGAAGTGATTTATACATATCGAATATCAACTCAAACTTATTCATCACAATTAGAGTTATGCTTATAAAACAATAAATAAGTTTTAAAACCTCACGTAGTATAATACTAGTATATTTTTCTTGCGTGGTACTATGTAATATTTTCTCTGTGTCGAGATCAAAAGAATAGCAAAATCACAACGGTGCGCCAAGAAGGCTATAGTCGTGCGGACAGAAAAGTGAATGATTGTTGGTTTATATGTGTGCGTGTATACAGGTGAGAGAGCACGCCGTAGAGCGAGACGCCGCGACAGCCTCCGCTCAGGTAACCGCGCGCCGCCAGTTCGAGCCACGCGCCCGCGCGCGTCTTCGTTGCGCTGTGCATAACCTTATTTTGAAATAAAAACATTGCACAAAACCTCCAAATTGACATTCACAACAGTTCAAAACAAATTAACTGACAATAACAAACAAAGATAAAGTGATTTACGAGTATTCCGGAACACACAAAGTGCATTGATCGAATTAATTGTGCGAATGCCACGGTCCACAGCCTACGCAGCCGGCGGCGTTCCTCTCCTCCGTTCATTCAAGGACCATTCGTTGAACCTACACTCTTTCGGCTTTTGCGTTCACGCAATCCTGTCGATTTGGAAATGAGCCTAAAGATACGCGAAGTGGAACGTCGATCAAGCTGATGACTGTCCGCAAATCAGCTTCAATTACAATGTCAATCAGTCAGAACGCAGGCCAGTTTAACAAACAGAAACAACAATTAGGTAAACAGGGCCCGGAACCGGTCAACTTTCCACCGCGATATCACCCACCTCCCTCTGCCGCGGCAGGTTCAAAACTAGCCACAGTCGACGCAGCCATTAAGGAGTATAAACCTCCTTATAACAGCAAATCTATCGATCCTAGCAAGATACAGTATCCTCCAGGAATACACAGTGCTCTACCGGGTCCGTATCAAGGAGCTCCATATCCACATTTAAAATATCCGCAAGGTTATCCAGTGGGATATCCAGTGCCTCCAGCAGCTCTAAGGGTTTTAAGGCCTGCTGGGGAAATCGTAACTAAAGCTATTGTGCATGAACCTTTGGAAACGACGACGCGAGCGCGTAGCGCTGACGATACGCAAAGAGTGCAACGTAATTTAGAAGAGGAACAAATTCACAGGAGGTCCGCTGACATGCTAAAATTCACGAAGCGTATCGAACCTGACGGACCACGGGCGTCGACTGATCAGAGGCGGCAAATTCAAGCACTTTTAGACGAAATAAAAGCACTGAAAGAGGCAAACCGTCGTCTAAGTGAAGACAATCAAGAGCTGCGTGATTTGTGCTGCTTCTTAGATGACGATCGACAAAAAGGCAGAAAATTAGCACGCGAGTGGCAACGATTCGGCAGATATACTGCTTCCGTAATGCGACAGGAAGTTTCAGCTTACCAGAATAAGCTTAGAGAATTAGATGATAAACAGCAAGAACTAATTCGTGACAATTTAGAACTAAAAGAGCTTTGTTTATATTTAGACGAAGAAAGGGAAAGAAGTACTTGTGTAAATTGTGGTCGTGCTGCAGGCAGGGAGAGAGATGATGGGGATGGCAGTAGTAGTGGTACTAACGCGGAAGAAGGGCCGCGACCCACAAACCCTACTGTGCCTGTTACACATCCTCAACTCGCGGAGAGAACGGTACAATACGTTCGAGATTTAGAGCAAAAAGTGCGACGTTTAGAGGCTGAAAAAGGAATAGGTAGTGGACTCAGCGAAAGGCCAGAGGCTGTTGTGCGTGCTCTGCAGGTGTTGGAAGTCAGAGAGCGAGTAGAACGGGAAAGAAGAAGACCAGCGCCAGATCTAGACTCTGGAGAACAAGCACTAGTACGCGAGATGTGTAATGTTGTGTGGGGTAAGTTAGAAGATGCTCCCCCACAAGCACCCCCGCGTTAAATTAAGTGTAATTGAAAACATTCGGAATAATTTTTTAACGTTCTCCTTTTGATAAATTGTTGTACGTAAGAAGAAAGTGCATAAAATTAGATTTAAGGTGAGAAACTTTGGGAATGGAATCCGACCCTATTGAGGCCAAAGTGAGCGCCGACTCTCGTGACCCAAAGAGTAAACTTGTGGTGACCTTGTTTATAAATCGATTGAAACTGAACTTTTAAGCGCCTTAATAATATAACCGTATTGTTATAATCTTGCCCTTTGAAAGACAGATTACAGGAAAATTTGTCAGGAATTGGAACTGAAAAGTACAAAAGTAGGTTAAGTTGCTGTAGGTTTAATTTATTGTAAAGTAACGCTTTGTCTTTAATTATCTTTGTAATTGTTGTAAAAATATGTTTAATATTAAAGTTAAACTTTTAAAAATTATCAAGGTTTTATAATGAGTTAATGAGGCTATAACTGTTTGTTTACGTATCTAGTATACAATATGTACAAGCTGGAGCAAATTTTGATTAAATTTTATATAAGTCAGTATCAAGTTATGCAATTTGATCAGACACCACGTACCAAAAACAAAAAATGAAGCGTGAATATTGTTTTTAATAATATTAGGTACCTATCTGTGCGACCAAATTTTGCTTGCCGTTAGAAAAATGTCTCAGGGATGACACTAATCCAGATAAACTAAGAAAGTTAAACATTATCTTAATATTAAAAATCATTCCAATCCTTAGAACCGTTTCCAAGAAACCAATTATATATTTATATTATATACAAGAATTGCTTGATTAAAGTATTCAGATTTAACATTAAAGAAGCGCAACAAAGCCGAATAATAATTATTTAACGCTTTAAACATACGTCTATCGAATGAAGTCGGATTACACACGGTGTTGTTTAACACGTTAAATGTAACAAAGATAAGCCGCGTTAATGTATCTGTTTGAACACAAGTTTATTTTTTGTCTGTTTATAAAGTGCATCTACTGCATAGCCTGTCACACGAACGCTTTTCTAGTCAATCACATAACTGTTTTAATTCAATTTTACATTTTGTGCCACCTACCAATCCTGAAATTACTGGGTTTGCTCAGCCCTAAAATGTTATATTAATTTATTAATCTTAAATTTATTGGAAATAAATTATTTTTGTTCATAATTTCTTATTCCTTTTACTACCTTTTTTATTACTAGTACCTAAATAGTTTTAGTTTGTTTATTATTTCGATCTAAAGATCAATAAATAAATTTCGTGAAATCCTTATTTTTGTGACCTGTGTTGTGTGTAATTGTAATCATCATTCTTTGTTACAACCATCATTATATCTTATAATGAACGATATCCCTTATCTTCCCGAGAGCCGATAAACAGTCCATAGCTGAACATGTTTCATATCGCACTCGTTTACACTTATCCTCTGAGCTCACACGACTGAAAATAGTTAAATGGATTTATCACCTTGTTCTCCGGGCGGATTGGCGAATGCAGTTCCACATTTCTCACATCTTTGGTTTGGCGATACTTCCCGTCGCCGGCCAGCCGCCGCAGAGTCTACAATACCTGATGATGCCTCGTATAGAGGCGAAACATGTGTCGTGTTATCGTCAATTGTGTGGCTTCCATAGAGTAGTGGTGTTGGGAGTAATGGTGTTGGTATTAGTGGTGACGGGATTAGTGCACGCAATTAAGGGAGGGCGGAAGGTGCTCTTCAAACTAGGCAAGACACATTACTTTATTTTATTTAGCGGATGGCTGCAAAGTAACTATTAACAACTTTAATATTATGGATTTCCGCAAAGTAACGCTTGATTCTATTAATCATTTTTAGTAAATTTATTTAAGATCTTATTTTTTTTATTTTTACTAAAATACTAGTAGGAGATAGTAGTGTAGTCAACTATTAAAGATAATTATTTAAGTTGGAAATAAAAAAATATAAATTGTAATTCGAGTAATTTCGACCATGGTGGCCTATTCCGACTACTGTTGGACATATTTTTGCGTTTCAACATAGTACTCGTACTAACCAATAACGAATGGAATAGAGCATATTGCATGACGCGAAGACCGATAATTTGTGTTTTTGTACAAATATTACTTAGTTATGTCTGAAGTAATCTACCCTCTCGTCTTCCTTTGAATTAGATGTGACCACTAAGCCGGTAATTTTACACAGGATATGCGAGTATTAATATCATTTGGCTTCACATTCCCTTGTCAAGGGTGACTTACCGTTATCGATTTTAATGGATGTACGATAGACTAAAGTGATAAAGTCTACTGAACATTTCTACGACAATTTTAAGTATAAGACGAAATAAATTAGTATTTTTAATAACAGCCTATCCAAAGCTACTGTTTAACATAAGCCTCCCCCATACATTGCCTCATAGGGGGCATATTTGCGAGCACACAGGCCACTTGATGGTAAGTGGATGCTATGACATATAACAACCACATCTATCGTTAATAAAAAATCAAAATGCAGATGCGTTGTTACTCCTAACCAGCATTAAGCTGCTATTTTACGCTGGTATTCTGTGTGAACGTGGTCCTTCCGCAGTCGAGCCGACTCATTCATGCTACAACAATAAAATAGCTGCAGCACGGCTGTACCACTTACAAAATAAGACTCTACCACGTACAAAGTATCTGTTTGTATTCCTATTATACTTTTTGCCATAGCAGCCGTGGCAACGATCAAAATAGATCTTACAGGTGGCAGAGATACTGGTCTTTCTAGACCCGCGTGACTGCTTGCACAATTTAAAAAAATGTCTGCCTTTTTAAACATATTTTAACAGGGGTGACAAAAAACCACACAGTCAACCCGATGGTAACTGGATGCTGTGACCCATAAGCATCTACATCTTTTCTCGATTAAATGTTGATGCGTTATCTCCCCTGAGGACAAAGATAGAATGCCTTATTCCCAGTAAAAGGGGGTATCCGGTTCTTTACATTAACCATATGAAAAGTAGCAATATCAAGCTCCTATCTTACGCTAGTATTCTGTGAGAGCGTGGCCTTGAACTGACCCATTGCTTTCATCTCAAACTTTGATATGACGAATATAACCATAATAAAAGGATTCTGAAACGGATTGTCTCTTGTGATGAAATTGTAACTTGTAAGTACTATAATCGAAAATGTTCGTCTCAAAGCTGGACCTCAGAGCAAGCAGTCAAATCATGTCTCACACGGAATTGTGTCAAAACGAGTTAGCTCATTGTTTCTGTGTAAAAAAAAAAACATAAGACTAAAAAAAAAAAAAAAGAAGAAACCGTTAATTTTTAATTTTTTAATTTCCCCAAAAAAAAAGAAAAAAAAAGAAAAATAATTTGTATTAACAACAAAAAAGCTCATTGGACCTCGACAAGCATTATTATTCTTTTTTCATGATTAATTAACACCCCCTCCTCCCCCCTTCTTGCTCTAGCTATCTGCCTGCGTATGTTTCCGCACTTATTATTGAAAGCACTCGTATAAAGTACCGCTTTAATTGTTCTTGTCAAAACATTTAATATGTTTATAATTATAAAAATAATAATCGCTACTTTAAATGAGCGCATTTCAATACATAGAAGCTTTTAAAGGTACAGGTCATTTATCAGCCACGACACGAATTTCTTATTGATTCCTTGACAAGTGTTCGCTAGAGTGATATTAGGGTGTGTTACCCTTACAACTTTATAAAAGGTACGTCCATTTATAAAGTTGTAAGGGTAACACATGTTTTATTCTCTAGCTTCTAGCTGATTCCGGTCACAATGGCATCGTAAATATCTTAAAGAAATGTTTGTTAATATTTAGAGATATATTTATAGCGAAACATGCCGACACAATACCTGTTCGTCTCTTTTCTTGGGTTATTCATGTATAAATATGACTTCAATTCAGGACCCTAAAATACATATACAAATAGAATCCCGCTTTATATAGTTGAACTTTTAAAAAATTTTAATCGGGATGATTCAATCAAAGATAATGTGGCCGCCACTACCGGGCTCGTTACATTTAAAAGTCACTAGAAATAATCTAATGAAGTAGGAGGGCCTCTTGATTATTAGTTAATTTAATAATTGAAAATATAGGAGGTACTGGGTCATAAGGAGCGTACTTTATGACCCACCCGGTCCCCAAAACAGTGGTAATATGAGTTGAGGTGTAATGTGCATATTTGATTCTCTCTGCGACAGCTGCAAGCATAACGTATCAAACCTAGCGAGTAGTTGATAGTGCACGTTGCACGTTCGAATGCTTGTCTCCGAGTGAGCCGTTCATATACCTACGTGTTATTAAATTAAATTATGTAGGTTTATGTTGAGGTATATAAGTGGATTAAATTAGGCTTGTATAAAATTATTGCTGGTATTTCAAAAGTATTTCTATCTTCAAATGAGTCTCTCGGGGTAGGTACCATGCCCTTATCTCATTCTATATGTTTTTTTTAGTATATGGTGACAAAGCGTTAGTAGCTTTGTTGCGCGGTGATTAATATACAATTTAACTGCCGACATAAGTCGTGAGCACACTTTTTATTGGTCGATACGACGTTGACCACGCTGACGTTCAACGTGATTGGTTCATTAGTCGATTCTCGTAGTCTATTGGTTTCGAACGTATCATTCGGCTTCCGTACACTTCAGAGCAATAATTTTAGTGATAACTTTTTTAATAAGTTTATTTTCGTTATTTGTTTTTGTCAGCTCGTTGTTAATTGTTGTTTGTGTACTCCTTGTTATTTATTGTTTTTGTTATTTCTTGTTTTTAATTATTTTTGTTGTTATAATTTGAGTGTTCAGATTTTGGTCTAAATATGCAGAGAAGGAAGAATTCGGTGTTAAATAGACAATCCCGACAAATTTTCTATTCAGTGTTTAGTTACATGAAAAAATTAGGTACTGCGAAAAACATCATAGACGTATATAAACAGACTGCTTAGGCAACTAAAGACGAGTTCCGTTTGCGCGCCGCCCCCGAGCGGTCGTGCACACAG